GCTGACAAGTGGCTGACAGGTGACTTGACAAGTGACACTAAGTCTCACCTACCCTGGTCAAGACGGCAGGGAGCTTGGTAATTAACTGACAAACACAGCCTGTGTGAGTTTGTGTGCTGATGTCTATCTCCTCGCCATCTTTCCCACCAGCAGTAAACAATTGTCAGAATAAAAGCTTACGCCAACAGTCTGATGGATCATGTGTGCATTCGGAGTTTGCAGCCATGCCAATACTAGGGTGTGAGGTTTGAAGCATGACTACCAGTCGCTTCTTTACTAATATATATATATATATATATATATATATATATATATATATATATATATATATATATATATATATATATATATATATATATGTGTGTGTGTGTGTGTGTGTGTGTGTGTATGCTTAGTGTGCATATGTGTGTGAAGATGTGGCAAAGTGGTTGGGCTAGCACATGTCATAGACTCCATTAAGCAACTCATGTCATAAAATACTTTGCTCAGCTCATGTCAAAACTGATAGAGTACGCTGGCAGTTCTTGTCATATATCACACTAGAATGAGTTCCTAACACTCCCTGACAGATCTCACTATAAACAGAACAGCCAATCAGATTAGAAAACATGGATCTTATTTTCTCAATCAATGATCAAACACGAGGCAAATAAACAATGATCTTAATCTTACTTACACCACATGACAATTGACGCTTCAGTCATGCACAGTCAACATGCACAGTCAACATGCACAGTCAACATGAACAGTCAACACGCACAGTCCGCCTCATTCCTTTATGAGGGAGAATTATGTAAAGTGAATTATAATAGTCGAGTTGATAGGTAACCAGTATATCACAACCTTAAATCACAAAATCACAAATAAGCTGGGAAGAACACCCGCTGTAACACAGAGCTGGGAAGAACACCCGCTGTAACACAGAGCTGGGAAGAACACCCGCTGTAACACAGAGCTGGGAAGAACACCCGCTGTAACACAGAGCTGGGAAGAACACCCGCTGTAACACAGAGCTGGGAAGAACACCCGCTGTAACACAGAGCTGGGAAGAACACCCGCTGTAACACAGAGCTGGGAAGAACACCCGCTGTAACACAGAGCTGGGAAGAACACCCGCTGTAACACAGAGCTGGGAAGAACACCCGCTGTAACACAGAGCTGGGAAGAACACCCGCTGTAACACAGAGCTGGGAAGAACACCCGCTGTAACACAGAGCTGGGAAGAACACCCGCTGTAACACAGAGCTGGGAAGAACACCCGCTGTAACACAGAGCTGGGAAGAACACCCGCTGTAACACAGAGCTGGGAAGAACACCCGCTGTAACACAGAGCTGGGAAGAACACCCGCTGTAACACAGAGCTGGGAAGAACACCCGCTGTAACACAGAGCTGGGAAGAACACCCGCTGTAACACAGAGCTGGGAAGAACACCCGCTGTAACACAGAGCTGGGAACACAGAGCTGGGAAGAACACCCGCTGTAACACAGAGCTGGGAAGAACACCCGCTGTAACACAGAGCTGGGAAGAACACCCGCTGTAACACAGAGCTGGGAAGAACACCCGCTGTAACACAGAGCTGGGAAGAACACCCGCTGTAACACAGAGCTGGGAACACCCGAACACCTGGGAAGAACACCCGCTGTAACACAGAGCTGGGAAGAACACCCGCTGTAACACAGAGCTGGTAAGAACACCCGCTGTAACACAGAGCTGGGAAGAACACCCGCTGTAACACAGAGCTGGTAAGAACACCCGCTGTAACACAGAGCTGGGAAGAACACCCGCTGTAACACAGAGCTGGTAAGAACACCCGCTGTAACACAGAGCTGGTGCTGTAACACAGAGCTGGTAAGAACACCCGCTGTAACACAGAGCTGGGAAGAACACCCGCTGTAACACAGAGCTGGGAAGAACACCTGCTGTAACACAGAGCTGGGAAGAACACCCGCTGTAAGAACACCCGCTGTAACACAGAGCTGGGAAGAACACCCGCTGTAACACAGAGCTGGGAAGAACACCTGTAACACAGAGCTGGGAAGAACACCCGCTGTAACACAGAGCTGGGAAGAACACCCGCTGTAACACAGAGCTGGGAAGAACACCCGCTGTAACACAGAGCTGGGAAGAACACCCGCTGTAACACAGAGCTGGGAAGAACACCCGCTGTAACACAGAGCTGGGAAGAACTGGGAAGAACACCCGCTGTAACACAGAGCTGGGAAGAACACCCGCTGTAACACAGAGCTGGGAAGAACACCCGCTGTAACTGTAACACAGAGCTGGGAAGAACACCCGCTGTAACACAGAGCTGGGAAGAACACCCGCTGTAACACAGAGCTGGGAAGAACACCCGCTGTAACACAGAGCTGGGAAGAACACCCGCTGTAACACAGAGCTGGGAAGAACACCCGCTGTAACACAGAGCTGGGAAGAACACCCGCTGTAACACAGAGCTGGGAAGAACACCCGCTGTAACACAGAGCTGGGAAGAACACCCGCTGTAACACAGAGCTGGGAAGAACACCCGCTGTAACACAGAGCTGGGAAGAACACCCGCTGTAACACAGAGCTGGGAAGAACACCCGCTGTAACACAGAGCTGGGAAGAACACCCGCTGTAACACAGAGCTGGGAAGAACACCCGCTGTAACACAGAGCTGTAACACAGAGCTGGGAAGAACACCTGCTGTAACACAGAGCTGGGAAGAACACCCGCTGTAACACAGAGCTGGGAAGAACACCCGCTGTAACACAGAGCTGGGAAGAACACCCGCTGTAACACAGAGCTGGGAAGAACACCCGCTGTAACACAGAGCTGGGAAGAACACCCGCTGTAACACAGAGCTGGGAAGAACACCCGCTGTAACACAGAGCTGGGAAGAACACCCGCTGTAACACAGAGCTGGGAAGAACACCCGCTGTAACACAGAGCTGGGAAGAACACCCGCTGTAACACAGAGCTGGGAAGAACACCCGCTGTAACACAGAGCTGGGAAGAACACCCGCTGTAACACAGAGCTGGGAAGAACACCCGCTGTAACACAGAGCTGGGAAGAACACCCGCTGTAACACAGAGCTGGGAAGAACACCCGCTGTAACACAGAGCTGGGAAGAACACCCGCTGTAACACAGAGCTGGGAAGAACACCCGCTGTAACACAGAGCTGGGAAGAACACCCGCTGTAACACAGAGCTGGGAAGAACACCCGCTGTAACACAGAGCTGGGAAGAACACCCGCTGTAACACAGAGCTGGGAAGAACACCCGCTGTAACACAGAGCTGGGAAGAACACCCGCTGTAACACAGAGCTGGGAAGAACACCCGCTGTAACACAGAGCTGGGAAGAACACCCGCTGTAACACAGAGCTGGGAAGAACACCCGCTGTAACACAGAGCTGGGAAGAACACCCGCTGTAACACAGAGCTGGGAAGAACACCCGCTGTAACACAGAGCTGGGAAGAACACCCGCTGTAACACAGAGCTGGGAAGAACACCCGCTGTAACACAGAGCTGGGAAGAACACCCGCTGTAACACAGAGCTGGGAAGAACACCCGCTGTAACACAGAGCTGGGAAGAACACCCGCTGTAACACAGAGCTGGGAAGAACACCCGCTGTAACACAGAGCTGGGAAGAACACCCGCTGTAACACAGAGCTGGGAAGAACACCCGCTGTAACACAGAGCTGGGAAGAACACCCTGGGAAGCTGTAACACAGAGCTGGGAAGAACACCTGCTGTAACACAGAGCTGGGAAGAACACCCGCTGTAACACAGAGCTGGGAAGAACACCCGCTGTAACACAGAGCTGGGAAGAACACCCGCTGTAACACAGAGCTGGGAAGAACACCTGCTGTAACACAGAGCTGGGAAGAACACCCGCTGTAACACAGAGCTGGGAAGAACACCTGCTGTAACACAGAGCTGGGAAGAACACCTGCTGTAACACAGAGCTGGGAAGAACACCTGCTGTAACACAGAGCTGGGAAGAACACCTGCTGTAACACAGAGCTGGGAAGAACACCCGCTGTAACACAGAGCTGGGAAGAACACCCGCTGTAACACAGAGCTGGGAAGAACACCCGCTGTAACACAGAGCTGGGAAGAACACCTGCTGTAACACAGAGCTGGGAAGAACACCCGCTGTAACACAGAGCTGGGAAGAACACCCGCTGTAACACAGAGCTGGGAAGAACACCTGCTGTAACACAGAGCTGGGAAGAACACCTGCTGTAACACAGAGCTGGGAAGAACACCCGCTGTAACACAGAGCTGGGAAGAACACCTGTTGTAACACAGAGCTGGGAAGAACACCCGCTGTAACACAGAGCTGGGAAGAACACCTGTTGTAACACAGAGCTGGGAAGAACACCCGCTGTAACACAGAGCTGGGAAGAACACCTGCTGTAACACAGAGCTGGGAAGAACACCTGCTGTAACACAGAGCTGTGAAGAACACCTGTTGTAACACAGAGCTGGGAAGAACACCTGCTGTAACACAGAGCTGGGAAGAACACCTGCTGTAACACAGAGCTGGGAAGGACACCTGCTGTAACACAGAGCTGGGAAGAACACCCGCTGTAACACAGAGCTGGGAAGAACACCTGTTATAACACAGAGCTGGGAAGAACACCTGTTGTAACACAGAGCTGGGAAGAACACCTGCTGTAACACAGAGCTGGGAAGAACACCCGCTGTAACACAGAGCTGGGAAGAACACCAACACCTGCTGTAACACAGAGCTGGGAAGAACACCTGTTATAACACAGAGCTGGGAAGAACACCTGTTGTAACACAGAGCTGGGAAGAACACCTGCTGTAACACAGAGCTGGGAAGAACACCCGCTGTAACACAGAGCTGGGAAGAACACCCGCTGTAACACAAAGCGAGTCAAGTGACCGGATGAGAACAGTGGCCGGATGAGAAGAACAGTGGCCGGATGAGAAGAACAGTGGCCGGATGAGAAGAACAGTGGCCGGAGGAGAAGAACAGTGGCCGGATGAGAAGAACAGTGGCCGGAGGAGAAGAACAGTGGCCGGAGGAGAAGAACAGAGGCCAGAGGAGAAGAACAGTGGCCGGAGGAGAAGAACAGTGGCCGGAGGAGAAGAACAGTGGCCGGAGGAGAAGAACAGTGGCCGGAGGAGAAGAACAGTGGCCGGAGGAGAAGAACAGTGGCCGGAGAAGAACAGTGGCCGGAGGAGAAGAACAGTGGCCGGAGGAGAAGAACAGAGGCCGGAGAAGAACAGTGGCCGGAGAAGAACAGTGGCCGGAGAAGAACAGTGGCCGGAGAAGAACAGTGGCCGGAGGAGAAGAACAGTGGCCGGAGGAGAAGAACAGTGGCCGGAGGAGAACAGTGGCCGGAGGAGAAGAACAGTGGCCGGATGAGAAGAACAGTGGCCGGAGGAGAAGAACAGTGGCCGGAGGAGAAGAACAGTGGCCGGATGAGAAGAACAGTGGCCGGAGGAGAAGAACAGTGGCCGGAGGAGAACAGTGGCCGGAGGAGAAGAACAGTGGCCGGATGAGAAGAACAGTGGCCGGATGAGAAGAACAGTGGCCGGATGAGAAGAACAGTGGCCGGATGAGAAGAACAGTGGCCGGATGAGAAGAACAGTGGCCGGATGAGGAGAACAGTGACACTAGACATAAACAAGAACACTGTATACAGACTATACGTCACGGATCATTATTTAGTAAATGATAAATGTTCGTTCATACCAAATGTATATTTTTACAGTTATCTTTTGGGCAGAGAAAAGTATTAATTGAAATGCGGAGGGAATATGACATCACTGACATCAATACTTTATAGCAATACTACACTGAATATCTAGCACTGACATCAATACTTTATAACAATACTACACTGAATATCTAGCACTGACATCAATACTTTATAGCAATACTACACTGAATATCTAGCACTGACATCAATACTTTATAACTATACTACACTGAATATCTAGCACTGACATCAATACTTTATAGCAATACTACACTGAATATCTAGCACTGACATCAATACTTTATAACAATACTACACTGAATATCTAGCACTGACATCAATACTTTATAGCAATACTACACTGAATATCTAGCACTGACATCAATACTTTATAACTATACTACACTGAATATCTAGCACTGACATCAATACTTTATAGCAATACTACACTGAATATCTAGCACTGACATCAATACTTTATAGCAATACTACACTGAATATCTAGCACTGACATCAATACTTTATAGCAATACTACACTGAATATCTAGCACTGACATCAATACTTTATAGCAATACTACACTGAATATCTAGCACTGACATCAATACTTTATAGCAATACTACACTGAATATCTAGCACTGACATCAATTCTTTATAACTATACTACACTGAATATCTAGCACTGACATCAATACTTTATAACAATACTACACTGAATATCTAGCACTGACATCAATACTTTATAACTATACTACACTGAATATCTAGCACTGACATCAATACTTTATAGCAATACTACACTGAATATCTTGCACTGACATCAATACTTTATAACTATACTACACTGAATATCTAGCACTGACATCAATACTTTATAGCAATACTACACTGAATATCTTGCACTGACATCAATACTTTATAACTATACTACACTGAATATCTAGCACTGACATCAATACTTTATAACAATCATGAGGATTTACTAGATAAGACTAGGAAAAGCTCTGTTATATAACAAGCTACTTCAACTTTGACACGCTTATGACTAGTACCAAACCCAATATTATAATTCTACTCTGACCAAAAGTGTTAACTTTTTCAACAGTTATTATGGTTCCGTGGTAACTACCGTCCGTAACTACCTTGCTCAGTGTAACTTAACTACCCACAGCTTGCCTGTCCAAATCAAAACCACACAATTAGTATTGGCTCTTCAATATTCCAGAATTCTTTAGGAGAATGCTATTTTTTTAACATCTCTACTATGCCCGTGGCCTGACGGCTGAGTGGACAGCGCGCGGGATTCGTAGTCCTTAGGTTCCGGGTTCTATCCCTGGTGGAGGCGGAAACAAATGGGCAGAGTTTCTTTCACGCTGATGGCCTTGTTCATCTAGCAGTAAATAGGTACCTGGGAGTTAGACAGCTGCTACGGGCTGCTTCTTGGGGATGTGTACAAAAAGGAGGCCTGGTCGAGGACCGGGCCGCGGGGACGCAAAGCCCCGAAATCATCTCTAGATTTACTAGAGGAGGTCACTAACAAGTCATGTCTCTAAAACATGTATGTTATTTTTTTCTGCAATATGTCAATGTCACAAGACAAGTTTCCTTATTTACACAAGGTTACATCTCTCTCACTTTATTATAAGAAAATATATATTCATAGTTAATATACAATCCCTCTGCCAAATTGTGTACACTCATGACTCCGTGCATCAGTTCGACGGTGCAGGTGGAAGTGCAGGTGTTGTGTCGGCGGGAGATGACCCAACACATGACTCCTGCTCCTGCCAGTGGCCAACTCGTATCAGTAATTTGACCTCCACTGTGGGCCTGCGGGCCGCTCCAAGCTCTCACTAGTCAAGCCTGTCCTCGGGCCGGGCTTGGGGAGTAGAAGAACTCCCAGAACCCCATCAACCAGGTACAATGTTTTTGGTCAAACAATCAATAAGTGTTGTTCACGGAATATTTAAACCTACATAAGAAGCTCTGATGTCTTAACATTAATATAGACATAAACTCACGGTATCAGAAGTCACTGACCCCCAGGCCAGGACCCCACATGTTCTCAGCTTCATGAAATAAAATATTGTGCTCAGCTCTGCAGAGGAAGGATTGAGTCTACTTCAAGAAGGTAGACTCGAGCAACCGGTCTCTATATAACAAGGAAACTTGTGACTCATATGCTATTAATATGACGCCATATTAATGATATTCTATGTGTCACTAACTGTTTCTTCCAGAGCACCAGTTGTATAGTGGGGTCTTGACCCCAAACTAAGTGGAGAATTAATTATTGCATTATTACGTGATACAATATTCTGATATAAATCATATTGTCTATTGGTTTAATATTAAATGCAAATTAACCTAATACATAATTATTTCAATTTCTTTAAGACTGGCTTCTCGTGTTACTTTGTGGGTGTTATTGCGTGTAAGGCCACGAATTAATACCCCTGTGCCTCGCTGCCTATAATATATATGTAAATGTATAAATGTTAATGTGAGGCTTCTCAGCAGGTGTGTAAGAGCAGCGGGTGTGTACCAGCCTTCTCAGCAGGTGTGTAAGAGCTGCGGGTGTGTACCAGCCTTCTCAGCAGGTGTGTAAGAGCAGCGGGTGTGTACCAGCCTTCTCAGCAGGTGTGTAAGAGCAGCGGGTGTGTACCAGCCTTCTCAGCAGGTGTGTAAGAGCAGCGGGTGTGTACCTGCCTTCTCAGCAGGTGTGTAAGAGCAGCGGGTGTGTACCTGCCTTCTCAGCAGGTGTGTACCTGCATTCTACAACCTCATTACCCACCTGGGTACGTGATGAACAGGATTCGAACCTGTGTTACTAGACTCAACGTCAATAACGTTGATTGACTGTTACTCGAACATATTTTGCCCACTGAGAGAGAGAGAGAGAGAGAGAGAGAGAGAGAGAGAGGAGAGAGAGAGAGAGAGAGAGAGAGAGAGAGAGAGAGAGAGAGAGAGAGAGAGAGACCTGGGCACCACCGGGTAGCCCATTTAGGAATGTTGCAGTGTGTTTGGTCTTAGATAGGGTTCCAGGCTCTCAGAATAGCACTCAATTTGGATCAGGTTCTAAATCCGGATTCTGGGGATAAAACATTCTAATTGAAACAGGTGATTTGTGGTCATCTTTAGCGGCTGGTGTGTGTGTGTATATATATATATATATATATATATATATATATATATATATATATATATATATATATATATATATATATATATAGTTTGGCCGCTTCATATATATATAGTGGTCACCACAACTTTACACTGAGGTGATTCCAGGAATGTCTCCTCTCTCTCTCTCTCTCTCTCTCTCTCTCTCTCTCTCTCTCTCTCTCTCTCTCTCTCTCTCTCTCTCTCTCTCTCTCTCTCTCTCTCTCTCTCTCTCTCTCTCTCTCCCCCCGCGGCCCTGTGTCACCTGTCCCCTTGTGTTGGGTCTGATCAACCAGGCTGTTAGACGGCGCTGCTGTTCGCTTCTTGACCTTCAGATATCCTTTGGAGGTGTTTTATTCATTTGACTATAACCATAAAGGTCCTTCTTAAGGATCTCCACTGTTGAATCGTGTTGGAGTACAGCAATAGACATGAACGTCTGTCTGTTCAAGGAAGGAAGTTCTTGTACCTTCTCATTCACTTGCTCACTCACTTGGGCCCTCATGCAGCCTCACTCAACTTGTCTACATGAGATACGGAGGTGTGTGAGTGTGTAGCCCAGCCGGGGTCGGCTTAAGTGCTACCGTTTAATAAATATAGGAATTACTGTCATCTTTCCCATGCGATTTTCAGTCTGAAATAAAATCGTGGAGTTTAGCTTCCGTAGAGTTTTGATGCTAATTACCACCGATCATGCAACATCCTCATCCCAAATGTGGAATAAAATTAAAAAGATTTCTCGTCCTAGCAGTCGTCAACTTGATCACCATTCACCTGTAGACTATGCCGACATGCTGCTTCAGCAATATGCAAGCACTGCTAGTATAAGCAGCCTGTCCCTAGATGTGCAAAACTATCTGGCTAGTACTAAAATAAATCGTAACTTCAATATTGAAATTGCCTGTAGTGAAATAGGGCCTGATGATAACTATGGCATAACCTCCTTTGAAATTAAAAATGCACTCAAGAAAGGTAAGGCTACCTCTCCTGGAGAGGATGGCATCACATACAACACCATGAGAGTACTTGCTGAGCTGCCAAATAGCCCTTTGCTAGAATTGTTTAATCAAAGTCTAAGGCAGGGTGTTTTACCTGACCGCTGGACACAGGGACTCATAATACCCATACCCAAGCCTAATTCACAAAAATTTAGACCCATTTCTCTGACGTCGTGCATGTGTAAAGTTCTTGAGAGAATTATTCTCGACAGACTAATGTTTCAAATCAAGCCCCACCTTGCCCCTAACCTGTATGGTTTCCTTCCTGGAAGAAGCACACAAACTTGCTTTACTGAGTATTTTATCAGAGGGGGACCAAACTTTCAGGCGGCATTTATTGATCTCCAAACTGCTTTTGATACAGCAAACAAAGAAATAATCCTAGAACAGCTAGCCTCTTTTTGGAGTTAAGGGAAGACCGTTGACATGGCTCAGGGGGTACCTGAGTAACAGAACCGCCTCAGTCCTTTTCAAGGGGGTCAAAAGTAAACTCTGTGCACCCTTTGAGTTGGGTACACCCCAGGGTGGAGTGCTAAGTCCCACACTGTTCAATGTTCTGATGCACAAATTAACAATTGATATTCCCACACTACCTGACGAAGCCGTCATTTGTTATGCCGATGATATATGCATTGTTGCAAATTCCCAAACTAGACTGC